CATCACTGATGCACTGATAGAAGTTGGAGAACAAAGCTTTGCCTGAAAGTGCTGGTCTAATTAGAGTTTAAAAACTATGTGGTGAAACACGTACTAGTACTACCTTGTTTGGGTCCCTTATAAAATTGCTTTTTGCACTGGGTATTAAGATAGCAACCTGCATTGAGGAACATTATAAGAAACAGACATATAAAACTAACCGAACAATTTTTTTCTTTTTAACGTCTTTACTGAAATATAATTCACATATACCATAAAATTCACTTGTTTCAAGTATACAAGCCAACAACTTTAATACAGAGTTGTGCAACCATCACCACAATCTGTGTTTAGAATATTCTCATCACCCCAAAGAAGAATCCCCTAATCATTAGCAGTCACTTCCCATTTCCCTCTCTCCCCTATCCCCTGAGCCCTAGTCAGCCATTAATCTACTTTCTGTCTCTATAGATTTGCCTGTTCTAGACATTTCATGTGAATGGAGTCATATAATACCTAGTCTGAATTCTTTCATTTAGCACAGGTTTCAAAGTTCACTCACGCTGAAGCATGTACCTGTACTTCATTCCTTTTCATGGCTGAAGAGTATTCCATTGCATAAACCACATTTTGTTTATCCAGTTGATGAACATTTGGGTTGTTTCCACTTTTTGGCTATTATGAAGAATTCCATTTGTGTACAAATTTTTGTGTGGACATATTTTAATTTCTCTGGGGGTCAATAACTACGACTGAAATTGCTGAGTTGTATGGTAACTCTACATTTAATTGTTTAAACAACTGCTAGAATGTTTTCCAAAGCAGCTGCACCATTTTATATTCCCTCCAGCAGTAGTGTATCAGGGTCCCAATTTCTCCACATTCTCAACATTCTCATCAACACTTCTTCCTTTTTTTTTTTTTTTTTTTTATGGCAGCTGGCAGTATGAGGAGCCGAACCCTTGACCTTGGTGTTACACGGCTGCCCTCTAACCAACTGGCCTAACCAGCCAGCACAACACCTCTTTTTTATTTTTTTTTCCTTTTTGTCTTTTTTACTGACCGGTAACGGGATCGCAACCCTCAGTGTCGCGCCTCAGTGGGAGCGCTGCCGCACTCCCAAGCGGCGCACTCTCCAGTGCGCCACCGGGCCGGCCCACAACACCTCTTATTAACTGTCTTTTTTAACACAGCCATCCTAGTGGGTATAAAATGGTATCTCATTGCAGTTTTGATTTGCATTTCCTGAATGTGTAATGATGTTGAACATCTTTTCATTTGCCATTTGTATGTCTTCATTGGGAAAATGTCAATTCAAATTCTTTACCCATTTTTAAATTGAATTGTCTTTTTTATCACTCAGTTGTAGGAATCCTTTTCTGGATACCAGATCCTTACAAGATATATGATTTGAGGGAGCGCCGCCGCACTCCCAAGCGGCGCACTCTCCAGTGCGCCACCGGGCCGGCCCACAACACCTCTTATTAACTGTCTTTTTTAACACAGCCATCCTAGTGGGTATAAAATGGTATCTCATTGCAGTTTTGATTTGCATTTCCTGAATGTGTAATGATGTTGAACATCTTTTCATTTGCCATTTGTATGTCTTCATTGGGAAAATGTCAATTCAAATTCTTTACCCATTTTTAAATTGAATTGTCTTTTTTATCACTCAGTTGTAGGAATCCTTTTCTGGATACCAGATCCTTACAAGATATATGATTTGAAAATATTTTCACCCATTCTGTGGGTTGTCTTTTCACTTCCTTGATGTGGCACAAAAGTATTTAATTTTGATGTAGTCCAGTCTATAACTGATCTTTATCTTATTGTCTTTGTGAATCTTGCTTTGTTCTTGGCTTTTCTCTTTATTTTTGCTACTGGGAAATTTGGAGTCAAATTTATGGCTTACTATTGGCTTTACTTTTATTCTCCTTTGTGGTCCAATTTCCAAGCATATTTATTTTACTTCACTGTGTTTTATGTATACTGTACCTCACTCAAATCCTTCTTGGAATAAGGCGGGACATAAATAAATGTACATTATAAGGCCATATGGGATATTGTTGGTTGAAAACTCTCCAAGTAAAGTTATAAGAACAGTAAAAGGTCTTTTTTAGCTAATGCTCCAGTTTGCCAATGAACCTGTAGAACTGAGGCCCTGATGTGAACAGCACAAAATAAACTCACTTCCTGTCAATCTATAAGGGAGAATAAGAAGCTCAAAAAGTTGGCTCCAACTTTAATTTTGTTTGTCTCACACATTCCTAAAGATTTCTATCAATTTCAGAAGTGTCAATAAATAGTCCTATATTGATTAAAGCATTCATACTCAAATTAAGAATAAAGAGAAACTGGATACATTGGAACTGAGTCCAAGAATTATTAACAAACAAATTCCCAAATAACAAGTCTGTGAAATTCTCTCATTTATCCATCCCTGATTTGCAAATTTGCTCTTCCAAGGTCTAGAAAAAATTGGTTCAGATTAACAATAAAACAACAGAAAATTTTCAAAACTTTTCAAGTAAGGATGTTATAGAACATTCCTGTTTTTCTTTATTCATGTTTTTTCCTATCACTCTAAAATACCCTTGTCAGAGATGTTCTCAGAATATCTCACATGACTAATTACCAATCAAAGCAATGATGGAAATGTATTTTGCTTACCAAAAAAACTGCACATTTATTTGAGGGAAAAAAATCCTCAATCTGAAATATCTTATTGTTTCTTTTCATGAAATTAAAGAATTAAGAAAATAAACTGCGTACATTCAAGGAGAAAATGTTCAGTCTTCCTAGTCTAGCTAAACTCTAATATTTCAGTATTCAATTTTAAAGAGGAGAAATTCTTCAATTCCATAAAAAGAAAAAAAAAAATGGATTTGTTCCTATTAGTCAATAGCAGTGAAATTTCCAGAAAAGGAAAAATACTCCAACAAGTGGCAGGATGACAAGGAAAAAAAACAAACAAAACTTAGGTTTAAGATATTAATACTTAAACTCATTTTCATGACCAGAATTAGTCACCAACGATGTGATCTCCTGTCTCTTCCCCTGTTTGACCAGATCTGTGTTTATTCCGATAAATATCAACCATTTCATTCTAGGATTCCATAAAGCCCTCTCCTTAGAAGTCAGCTCCCTGATAATTTTTAGAACTGAAACTCTGACAAGGTGACTGTGGCACTGCAGTAGAATATGGCCTCAGGCAAACTCCATCTCTGATTGAGATACTAACCCCCACACTTGTTTTCATTAAGGTATAAAATATACATCGGGCATATCATGTACACAAATCTGAAGTGTACAGCTCAATACATTTTTATATATATCTACATGTGTATAACTACCACCTATATAGTGATATAGAACATTCCCAACACTCCAGAAGTTCTCTGTGCCTCTTCTGGGTCAATACTCTCCCACCAGAGGAAGCACCATTCTGACTTCCATTACCACTGATTAGTCTGCCTGTTCTTAAACAACATACAAATCAGACTGTCTGTACTCTTTTGTGTCTGGCTTTTTTAGTTTACCATAACATCTGTGAGATTCAACCATGTTGTTGCACGTATCCATAATATGTTATTTTTCCACTGCTGAGGAGTATTCTATTGTATAAATAGAAATCAATTTATTTATCTATTCTACTACCAATAGGCATTTGGGTTGTCTCCAGTTTTGGACTATTATGATTAAAGCTACAGTGAACATTCTTATGCACGTCCTTTGGTGGACATACTAATTTCTCTTGGATATATACCAGGCGTGGAATTGCTGGGTGATATTGGGTAGGCATATGTTTAGCTTTATTGCTAACAGTTTGCCAAAGTGGTTGAACCAGTTTATAAGCCCACCAGTAATGTATCTAGTCCTAGTTCTCCACAAACACACCAATACTTGGTATTGTTAGACTTTCTAATTTTAGCTATTCTAATGGGTATGAAGTGGTATCTCACTGTGGTTTTAATATCCATTTCCCAGATGAATAGCTATAACTATATTAAGCATCTTTTCATATGCTTATTGGCCATTTTGAGAGCTTGTTTGGAGGTTCTAGCAGGGGAGCGCAGCTACTCGTATACCCTTGACGGAAGAACGGTCCTCTCCTCTATCGGGGAAGGTCGTCCTCTTCGACGAAGCGCGGAGCTTCGGGAGGGACGCACATGGAGCGGTGAGGGAGGAAGGGGACACCCACCTAGCCAGCCAGATCAGCGGAATCAACCCTGGCGATCAACGGGGTGACAGATGTCGCAGTCAGATCACCCTCACATCCATTATTGGCCATTTTGAAGTGCCTGTTAAAATCATTTATTTTCTATCGGGGAAGGTCGTCCTCTTCGACGAAGCGCGGAGCTTCGGGAGGGACGCACATGGAGTGGTGAGGGAGGAAGGGGACACCCACCTAGCCAGCCAGATCAGCGGAATCAACCCTGGCGATCAACGGGTTGACAGATGTCGCAGTCAGATCACCCTCACATCCATTATTGGCCATTTTGAAGTGCCTGTTAAAATCATTTATTTATCGGGCCGGCCGGTGGCTCACTCGGGAGAGTGTGGTGCTGATAACACCAAGGCCCCGGGTTGGGATCCCATATAGAGATGGCCGGTTCGCTCACTGGCTGAGTGTGGTGCTGACAACACCAAGTCAAGGGTTAAGATCCCCTTACTGGTCATTTAAAAAAAAAAAAAAATCATTTATTTATCTATCTATCTATTTACGGCAAGCTGGCTGGTATGGGGATCCAAAACCATGAGTTTGGTGTTATAAGGCTGCACGCTAACCAATTGAGCTAACTGGCCAGGTCATTAACCATTTTTATAATTTCCTTTTTAATTTGTAGTTCTTTGTGTATTCTGACTACAAGTCCTTTGTGAGAAATATGTATTGCAAAAATCTCCCAGTTTGTGGCTTGCCTTTTCTATTAATCATGAATTTTACTAAAGAGAATTTCTTAATTTTAATGAAATTCAATTTATTAATTTTTTTCTTGTAAGGTTAGTACTTTTTGTATCCTACTTAAGAACTCTTTGCCTACCCCAATGTCTACTCTCCATACTTTCTCCTAGGAGCTTTACTGTTTTACCTTTTACATTTACATTATAATCCATTTTGAATTAACTTTTGTGTATAGAGGGAAGTAAAGGTCAAGATTCATTTTTCCCCCAGATGGATATCCAATTGCTTTAGTACCATTTACTGAAAGAAACCCCAATTTTTAACTTTATTGTGGCCACTGGGTAATGGGAGCACACCATCTGTGAGAAGAGCATTCTCATACTCACCCGTCTCAATAGTCTGCTTTCCTCCTGAGAGGACACCAAGAGGGAGTGTACCTGTAGGAGTCAGGCCCTTGAGAGTCAGCACACTCTCACTCTCTTCCCTGCAAAGGAAGATCAAAGCCCTGGGTTAATGCCAGGGAACCCACCATTCAGCAATTCAAAGATTCTTTAAGGAAATTAAGAAAAAAAGCTTAGAGAGGGAAGACAGGTTTTCCTACCTCTGACCCCTTCCCTGACTCAAAGAAAGGGATTTTTGTTTTGTAAATATTCCAATTTTCAAAAATCGCCCAGTTCTTGTTTTTCAATTAGAGGCACTGAATAGCCAGGCACTGTACTAATGTTTCCCATACATTATCCCATTTAATCCACTTAACCTTGTGAGGTAGGTCCTATTTTTATCTCTATTTTATAGACAAGGAAACTGAGGCACAGAGATTAAACACAAGATCACACAGTTAAAAAAAAGTAAATCCAAAATTTGAACACAGGCAATCTGTCTCGAAAATCCACTCTAAACCGTAACATTCACCATATCTAAGCCAGTACCAAATAAATGTTTGCCAGAATATGTTTACTCACTTTAAGATGTGGGTCTGATTCAATGTGCACTCAGACTTGTAGTTCCAATACCAAACTCTTTTTTTTTTTTTCCTTTTTGTCTTTTTTTTACTGACCGGTAATGGGATTGCAACCCTCGGTGTCGCGCCCGTACCAGGGACCGGCAATGGGATCGCAACCCTCGGTGTTGCGCCCACACTGCGCTCAGCCAGTGAGTGGGAACCGGTCTCCACATGGGATCCGAACCCTCAGTGGGAGCGCCGCCGCGCTCCCAAGCGGTGCCCTCTCCAGTGCGCCACCGGGCCGGCCCACCAATACCAAATTCTAATTCTGAAAAAACTGTTCTGAAATCAACTTTTAACTTATTCTCAAAATCCCTTTATCCCACACTGTAATGACAGACTTCTCCTTACCGAAGAATTGAGAAGACCCGTGCCATCTTCCCAATGGCTCTGATTTTATTCTTGATGATCTCCTTACGAACTGTAGTGCTTCCTTCAAGAATACAAAGAATACAAAGAAGTAAGCTAAAGGAATGTATTAACAGGTTGGCTTTAAAAAATGCAGGATGAAGTGACTTTCTTATTTAAGTTACAGAAACTGTTGTATCAAAAAAAGAAATCAAGGCCTAAGTTTGTTTAAACAAACAAAAATCCCAGTAAGTTCTAAGGAGCAAGAAAAAAACCCAGAAGAGAAAAAGATGAAGTAAAAATTGGAGGAGCCACCAAAAAGACAGACCGGATGGATCTACGAGAGGTAGAAAATTATTTGTGGTTCTGAAATGTAGTACACAGCGAAGAATGAAACACACACACGTAAACAAACCTCACAAAGACAGTTGCTACAGCAAAGATCTCTTTTGAGAGTGCTGAGGGCCACCTTAGGGTGCAGGATTTGACCTGCCAAATGGCAAGTGATCATGTGAGCATTTGTCTTCTGCATGTAAACACAATGTCCAGCTAGCTCTCCTGAACTTAGTGATGGCTGCTTTCATTCTGTAATCTTCACTTACACCAGTAGGTTATTTCCTCACAGTACTATTTGACAACTGTGCAGTACGAATTACAAGGATGGGTAAGGTGTTTTAAAAAGCAACATCAAAAAAATTAATGTAAGACTTTATGGCTTTTTCTCAACTAAGATTCAGGAAATAGCCCACACATGAGAAGCCAAGGTCCAGGCATGCACCAGGTGACAACATTCAAAAGTCAGAAAAAGAAACACGGTCTCTCCTTCCTCACCTTCAGCTCTCAACATCCTGCCAGATCATGCAGCAGGTCCAGAGAAAACATATACATTAAAACTGAAAGGGAGAATGGAGAGCCTGTCTGAAATTATTCAACTACCAATTAAAAATGTCTAACCAATACATTATGGTGGGACAGACAGCGAGTATTAAGCTCTTAGCACATTTCAGTCAGATACCTTTCTGATAGCTTGAAATGTAGTGATCTTCGGGGAGAAGAGACACCAAGAAACAAGGAGATGAAGATAGAAATATGAGAAGAGAAATTTAAGTTTACATGGAAGAGAAAAAAAAACAAAGTGAAATGCAATGAGAGAAGCAGGCTATTTATCTTTATCAGCTCATAAGAGACATCCTTGGTATCATGACAGAACATTAAATTACAGATTTTGTCAGCAGTTTTACATTATTTCACATCTATTATTATCCAACATTTCCTATCCCCACAACTCATGAAAATAACATTAGACAGAGAAAAAGATATCATTTGGGGAAAAAATGATGCTGAAAACAAAGAACAAAAACAACGCACAGAACAGTTTACAAATCTCTTAATAAGAACATTATGTTTCTGTTTAATCGATTCAATACCTTCTCTTATCTTTCAGGGGATATTATAGTTCTCCTTTTTTTTTTTTTTTTTTTTTTTTGTTTTTTTTCATGACCGGCAACGGATCGCAACCCTCAGTGTTGCGCCCGTACCGGACCGGGACCGGCAACAGGATCGCAACCCTCGGTGTTGCGCCCGCACCTCACTCAGCCAGTGAGTGGCCGGTCTGTATGTGGGATCCGAACCCTCGGCGGGAGTGCCGCCGCGCTCCCAAGTGGCGCACTGTAGCAGTGCGCCACCGGGCCGGCCCATAGTTCTCCTTTTTAAGGTTTTAAATGTTCCTCAGAATTTCAAGTTTATTCAAGTTGGTTTTTGCTGTTTTTACTGATGATGTTTGTCTCTTAGAGATCTTCCTTAGGTGTCTGATAATCCTGGGTGTATATTCATGATTAAGAGTGAGGAACTAAAAAGCCTTCAGAGTTGGTGGGTGGAGATTGTCAACTTTGAGCTTTACACTGAGTGATCAGGATGGGCCTTTTTTAAGGAACTGAGTATGCGTATTGTCACTGAATTCATCTGTTTTGGGCAAGGTACTGATGTCCTCTATTATATCCCCATTCCAGAAAGCCTTTGGTTTACACTGTTTAGAGATTAGTCTCCAGACTTTGAGAGGAGGCAGTTGCCCAGTGGCAACTAGGACTTTACCTGCCTTTCAAACAGCTTCCACCCAGTCTACTTATGTTAGCTCACAATCCCTTCCCCGCCGACTCCCTCCCCCTTCCCACAGTTCCCACTTCTAGCAACTGATGCTGCCAATTCCTTTATTTTTTGAGGCTCCTGTGCTGGAATTCAGCATTCCCTGTTGCTAAGCTGGGCTTCAGCTCTTCAGCTTTCCTCAATCAGGTAAGTCAATAAAACTAACACATTTGTGTTTCAGTTTACAAAAATGCCTACCAAAATTTCCCCATTTTTGTAAGTGTATAAATTTTTTTCCACTTTTTTTTTTACTACAAAGTGTGATAAACACACAGAAAAATACATAAAAACAAATGTATAAGTCAATGATTTATTAAAAAATAAACACCCATATAACCACCACTCAGGTCAATAAGCAGAATATTGCCAGTATCCCAGAAGCCTCTCTTAGATCCCTCTTAATACATCCTTATAGTCTCTCTCCTCCCCAAAGAAAATCATTCTCTTGATTTCCACTGAAATCATTTTCTGGCTGTTCTTTATAGTTTTACCACGCAAGCATGTATCCACATGCACTATAGTTTTCATTGTTTTTGAATTTTATGTAATTGAAATAATTGAGCATGTACTTTTTTGGTCTGGCTTCTTTTGCTCAACATTATGCTTGCAAGATTATCCATGTTTTTCCTGTTGCTATTAACTATGGCATATTCATGTTTTAAAATTTATTGGTATAAATTTATTCTCTTGTTTTCTTATTAATGTCTATAGGATTTATAGTGATGTCTCCTTTTTCAGTGCTGGCATTGGTTATCTTGTCTCCTCTTTTTTACTTAATCAATCCTACCAGGGGTTTACCAATTTTATTTGCCTTTTCAAAAGAGCATATTTTGGTTTTGCTGATCCTTTATATTGCATTTTATTTTCTGTGTTCTTAATACCACACTTAACTTTTTATTTCATTCTTTTTCTATTTATTTAGGTTTAAAGTGCTATTTATACTTTGTTAACTTCTTGAGATGAGTGCTGATTTTCTGCCTTCTTTTCCAATGTATGCATTAAGGCTATAAATATTCCTCTAAGCATGCCTTTAGATGCATCCCACAAGTTTTAATATGTACTGCTTTTTATTTCCATTCAGTTCAAAATATTTTCTAATTTTCAATGTGGTTTGTTATTTGACCCATGGGTTAAGTATATTTTAAAATTTCCTAAAATAAGGAGGCACTCTACTTATCTTTTTGTTATTGATTTATATTGTAATTTCATATAATCATAGAGCACAGTTGTTATGATTTTAATCCTTTGACACCCCAAACTTGCCTTTAGCCCAGGATATAAGCAATTTTTGTAGATATTCATATGTATTTGAAAAGGAGGTGTACTCCACATTAGTTGGGTGCAGTGCTGTTTATATGTCCATTAGGTCAAGTTCATTAATTGTGTTGGCCTAATCTTCCCGATTTTGTTTGCTTATTCTATCAATTACCATGAGCTATTTATTAAATTCTTGCACTACCATTGTGGATCTATTTCTCATTGTACTTCTATCAACTTTCACTTTACATATTATGAAGGCATGATATTAATTGCACACAAACTTAAAGTTGTTAAATCTTTTTTTTTCAGGTTTACTTTATGTAATATTAATCTATCTATATGAGCTTTTCTTTGGTTAATGTTTACATCATATATTTACTCATGTCCTTTTACTTTCAAACTTTCTGTATATGTATGCCTTAGATCTGTCTGTTATAAAACATCATAAAGTTTTTTTATCCTACCTATCTACCTTTTATCCATTTACATTTAATAATATTGCTAATATAGTTACTATCATTGTTTATTAGATCTAACTTTCTGTATATGTATGCCTTAGATCTGTCTGTTATAAAACATCATAAAGTTTTTTTATCATACCTATCTACCTTTTATCCATTTACATTTAATAATATTGCTAATATAGTTACTATCATTGTTTATTAGATCTGTCCTATGATATGTACTGTCCTTCCTTTCTTGCCTTCTTCTGGATCATCTTTCATCATTCCATTTCTCTCCTATATCTTAAAAGTTACATAACTGAAACTTTTCTTACAGGATATCCTCGTGATTACAACATGCATCTCTTATCAAAGTATAATGTTAATGGGTACTTCCATTTGTTCCCAGATAATGTACAGCCCTCACACCCTTTAACTCTACTTATCCCATTATTATTGTCATATATTTTAATTCTTTTAAATCCAGCAAAACATTATTATTATTGTTTAATAAAAATCTACATTCATTTGATTTACCCAGATATTTTCTGCTATTTTTACTTTTTATTCCTTCCTGAATTTCTAAGCTTCCCTGTGGTATTTGCCTCATGTTTCAATAATATCTTTTAGAATTTCACTTAGTGTGTGTTTCCTGATAATTCTATTAGTTAAAATTTTAAGGGGCGGTACCTAAAAAATGCTATGTCACCTTCATTCTTGAAGGGTATTTCTGCTAAGTATAAAAGTCTAAGTTATCAGTTATTGTCTTTCAGCACTTTGAATATGTTACTCCATTGTTTCCTGTTTCCATTGCTTCCATGAAGAATCAACTGTCAGTCTAACTGTTCTCTTTTGAAAGTATCTCTTTTTTGTGTGTGGCTGCTTTAAGATTTCTTTCATTGTCTTTTGTCTTAAGCACTTTTACTATGATGTACTTAGGTGTGTTTTCTTTGTATTTATTCTGCTTTGTGTTTATAGGACTTCTTCAATCTATGACTTGTTGTCTTACCAGTTTTAGAAAATTTTTATCCATTATCTTTTCAAATAGTGCTTCTATCCCATTCTCTCTCTCTCCTCTTCTCTGGGATTCCAAACACACATGAGGTAGGCCTAGTCATTGTATCCTCTATGTCTCTTACACTTTTGTGTGTGTGTGTGTGTGTGTGTGTATTTTCCTTTTTTCTCTTTATGCTTCACTCTAGATCTATCTTCCAATTCACTTATTCTATGTTTAGTTTTACTGAATCTGCTATTAATTCTTTTGTTGAGCTTTTTAATTTGTTATTTTATTTTTCAGTCCCAGAACTTTCTTTTGGTGCTTTATCAAATCTGCCATATCCCCTTTTATAATTCACGGTTCTCTGCCAAAATTCTCAATCTAGTCTCTTAGGTTCTTGAACATAGTAAGCATAGTTTTGTTTTGTTTTTTAGCAGTTATTTGTTTGTTTGTTTGTTTGTGTTTTGGAGGGGCAGCTGGCCAGATATAGGGATCCAAACTCATGACCTTGGTGTTATATGGCTGTGCTCTAACCAACTGAGCTAACAGGCCAGCATTAGCATAGTTATTTTAGAGTTTGATCTGATAAAAGCAATATCTAGAGAACCTGGGGGTCTGTTTTTATTTTTTGCTATTTCTGATGGTTCTCATTCATGTTGTTATATCTCTTCATATGCCTGGTTATTTTTATTTTTGGTTGTGAACAACATATTATATTTAAAAGACTGTTTGCCAAAATCATTTAAGGTCCTACATGATGTTATCTTAGTCTAGAGAGTTTGCTTTTTTTGGTGGCTGGCTGGTATGGGGATCCCAAGAGAGGTTTGCTTTTGTGAGGTGCCTAGGACAACCTTATTTAAGTTTCAGAGATTAAAATGATGTGAAGGTAGGCTATGTTCCCTTCCAGAGCTATTTCCAGCTTACCCTTACTCTTACACAGATATAACCTTTGAGGGTCCCAAACCAATGAACAGAAGCTTCCTAGTATTCACATCATCTCTGGCAAGCTCTGAACCCCAATTTTTTTTTTATTTCTGCTAAGTATAAAAGTCTAAGTTATCAGTTATTGTCTTTCAGCACTTTGAATATGTTACTCCATTGTTTCCTGTTTCCATTGCTTCCATGAAGAATCAACTGTCAGTCTAACTGTTCTCTTTTGAAAGTATCTCTTTTTTGTGTGTGGCTGCTTTAAGATTTCTTTCATTGTCTTTTGTCTTAAGCACTTTTACTATGATGTACTTAGGTGTGTTTTCTTTGTATTTATTCTGCTTTGTGTTTATAGGACTTCTTCAATCTATGACTTGTTGTCTTACCAGTTTTAGAAAATTTTTATCCATTATCTTTTCAAATAGTGCTTCTATCCCATTCTCTCTCTCTCCTCTTCTCTGGGATTCCAAACACACATGAGGTAGGCCTAGTCATTGTATCCTCTATGTCTCTTACACTTTTGTGTGTGTGTGTGTGTGTGTGTGTGTGTGTATTTTCCTTTTTTCTCTTTATGCTTCACTCTAGATCTATCTTCCAATTCACTTATTCTATGTTTAGTTTTACTGAATCTGCTATTAATTCTTTTGTTGAGCTTTTTAATTTGTTATTTTATTTTTCAGTCCCAGAACTTTCTTTTGGTGCTTTATCAAATCTGCCATATCCCCTTTTATAATTCACGGTTCTCTGCCAAAATTCTCAATCTAGTCTCTTAGGTTCTTGAACATAGTAAGCATAGTTTTGTTTTGTTTTTTAGCAGTTATTTGTTTGTTTGTTTGTTTGTGTTTTGGAGGGGCAGCTGGCCAGATATAGGGATCCAAACTCATGACCTTGGTGTTATATGGCTGTGCTCTAACCAACTGAGCTAACAGGCCAGCATTAGCATAGTTATTTTAGAGTTTGATCTGATAAA